AGCAACTAATGATCTTGTGACCACCTCTCTCTTCTTCTCGCACTCTGTTTAATAAAGCCAGAGAGTTCTACAGAGGTACAAATCCCAGTGCCCCCGCCGGCCCCATTTGGTTTTGTTTGTTTGTTTGTTCTTTGCTGTACCCTAGCAATCAAGTGCAAAGTCCTGGACGGCTGCAGCACTTTTCCTGATTTCGTTTTGCCGTTTACATTCTAGAAGCCAAGTAGGATCTCAGAGAGAAAAGCCTTGGCTTTGTTGTTGCTGCTCATGGGCGGCAGTACCACTCTGAGGTACCACACACTTTATGAGTGTGCTCACAAAGGCTTTGAAGTCTTCTTCCCTCTAACGTCACCCCTATCCTTCATTCTGCTGATTAAGCATGAGTTGCAGTTTCAAAGGCACATGCATGAGGCTGAGATTCCTCCTTGACTCCCAGAGCCAACTGAATGCTAACCCTGATCTTAATGTGGTCATGAGTTGGAAGAGTTGAAAGTGCTCCAGTATTGCCGGTTGCATCCTTTATATTAAGCAGGCATGGAAACAACCAAGCCTCAAACAGTCCTTGCTTGTTGGGAAGAATGTGTTTAGTATTTTAAGGGTTTTCTTTCATTTTTTTAAATACATTTATTTATTTTTGGCTGCATTGGGTCTTCGTTGCTGCGCGCAGGCTTTCTCTAGTTGCGGTGAGCAGGGGCTACTGTTTGTTGTGGTGCACGGGCTTCTCAGTGCGGTGCCTTCTCTTGTTGCAGAGCACGGGCTCTCGGCGCGCGGGCTTCAGTAGTTGTGGCGCACGGGCTTAGTTGCTCCGCGGCATGTGGAGTCTTCCCGGACTAGGGCTCGAACCCGTGTTCCCTGCATTAGCAGGCGGATTCCTAACCACTGCACCACCAGGAAAGTCCTGTAAGGGTTTTCTATTGACAAAGCAGTGAAACTCACTGTTTGGCCTAACAAGTGGATCATTATGGCTTTGTGGAAGAAATGAAAGAACTTGAGAGCCACAGAGAAACACTACTAAAAAGCTGAGGAACTGATAAAATCATCCCCAGAAGATAAAGATAGGAAGAACAGGAAGATTTGAACTGTTGTTCAAATCTTCATAAACTTGTTGAAGTGTTCCATGCTGTAAATACCTGAATGATTTAATTTCTGAATAAAATCCCTCCATGGAGAGAAACCTGAAAATTACATTTGGTTAAATCTATGCATTGTAATTCCTTGTAACCCGGCAATTCTGCACAGTAAGTACGCACCCGGCAAAAATGAGTGCCTAGGTCCATCAAAAGAATCTGCAATACTGTACAGAGTAGCTTTCTCTATAATAGCTGAAAATGGAAACAACTCACACGTCCATCAACAGTAGAACAGGTAAACTGTGGTATATCCATACGATGGAATATACTGTAAAATGGTGGAAGTAATGAGCTACCTTTTCATGCAACAACATGGATGTAAAAGTTAAAATTATTTGTAGCATTGTGGAACATTTGAGCTATTACCAACAAATGTTTGAGCAGTTCAAGATTCGGTGGCAACAACTGGTGAAGAAACGTTTTAAACCACCAGCAGCTGAGCAGCTGCAACTTCTCAAGCTGAACTGGAATTGGCCTTCGATTAGGCTTGGTATCTGACCCCCAAGACATGATGTCTTTATTTTTGTTGTCACACTGGCAAGAATATCCAGGTTGGGTGGATGACAAGTGTTCAGGTTCTTTTTTTTTTTTTTTTTTGCCCCACCTTGCAGCATGTGGAAACTTAGTTCCTGGATCCGGGATTGAACCTGTGCCCCCTGCAGTGGAAGCGTGGAGTCTTAACCGCTGGACTGCCAGGGAAATCCCCACATCCTTCTTTTTAATATGCTTTCTTCTTTCTCTTTAATTAAAACTATGTAAAATGTTTTTCTGTACATCATTATATGTGTACTGCCATGTATTGTATTTTACCTGAAACTAACATACGCTGTACCTAATAGATGGGGTAAGTAAGGTATTTTCAAGGGTAATTTTAACTCTGAGACAAATCTGTCACCTTACCTCTGCCGACTCTCTATCCCCTAAAAATGTGAAGCGTGTAGCACAGTGCCTGACACACAGGAGGTGCCAGTTCAGCACCTTCAGCCTGGACACCCACTTTCCACAGTCCACACGCACTCTCTCACTAAAATTGCCGATGACCCAAAAAATCATGTAGGTAATCAAACCTGAATTGTCTGCTGTGCTGTGTCCTCCCTGACCCTCTCCTCACCCTACACATTCTCTCCAGGGCTCCTCTTGTTCTCATAGTTCAGCTCCTGGCTAAAGGCTGTTACACCTCCCAAATCAATATCTCCAGTCCAGGTCTCTCACTGCCCCTCCAGCCCCGCCATTTTCTTTTTCTTTTCCAGACCTGCCACTGTCAAGCGTGTTCTGGATGGTTCCATTGGGTTGTTGCTCAGGCACCTCAAGAACACGTCCTAAAGTGAACTCACCATCTCTCTCTCCCACCCTCCTGCCCCTGCCCCCCATTGGCTCCTCTTTCTGTCATCTCTGTCTTCTCGTGGCACCACCTTCCAAAAGAGTCTTCCAGTCTAGAAAACGTCCCTGTCTCTCTCTCCTTTCCCTGGCCTCAGCATCTAATCAGTCACCAGGTCTTGCAGTTTCATCAGTGTTTCTTGAATTCTTTTCATCCTTATTTTGACTGCCCTATTCCAGGCTCTCAACACGTCACCTGGGCCGCTCCACTGCTGCCGGGATGCTTTTTCTAAAAGAAGTTTCTAACCATGTTCCTCTCCCGCCTCTCTCCTACATGGCTCCCCCATTACCCATCTGTCCTACAGGGTAACATGTGCATTCTTAACTTGGCCTGCAAGCCCTCCTGATCTCACACCGACTTCCCTAGGCTTGCGTCTTATGCTGCAGCAACCCTGAAATCTTCTAACTTCCCCAAACCTGGCTATCGCTTCTGTTTTATTTTCATGTTGACCTCTCAGTCTGAATGTCTTATTCATGCAGCAACTCTAATCCAACCTCCAGTCCTGCAGAACCACCTCTCAGGCAAATTCCTTGTCATTCTTAAAGATTCAGCCCAGGGACTTTCCTGGTGGTCCAGTGGATAAGACTTCGTGCTCCCAATACAGGGGGCCTAGGTTCGATCCCTGGTGGGGGAACTAGATCCCGCATGCATGCCGCAACTAAGAAGTCCACATGCTGCAACTAAGATCCAGTGTGCCACGACTAAGACCCCAGGCAGCCTAAATAAATAAAAAATAAATACTAAAGAAAAAAAAAGATTCAGCCCAGTGTCATCTCCTCCAGGACACTTTCCTTTCTGAACTGCTTGATCTCTGGTTAGGAGTCCCATCCTTTTTACTCATATAGTACTTTCTGGATATCCAGAATTTTATCTACCGCACGAGAAACTGTTTCATAAATGTCCTTGTAACTTCCTTGAAGATTCCCTGCTTAATCCTCAGTGCTCAGCACAAATGATTAAATTTGAACCAGAAACTAAGTGCTTTACATGTATATAACTTCACTGAATCCTCACTAGAGCCTATGCAGTAGATACCAATAGTATCTCCATTTTACAGAGGGAGAAACAGGCATGAGGAGGTTAATAAATTTGCCCAAGGTCCCCCGCATACGGGCCTTCACGTGTTCACACCCAGTCAGCCTGGCTCCACAGCTGGCATCATTTACCACTAATATTAGATTGCCTCTCTATAAAGTGGGCACTTAGTAAATGTTAAGGAAACAGGAATAGCTATGCTTAGTGAGTACAAACTATCTAGCAGACTCTTCATTATTCCCATTTTACGTAAGAGAAAACAGGTTTAGAGAAGTCTGGCAACCTCTCCAAGGTCAGAGAACTAATTAGATATATAGCTTCACTCACAACCAAGGTCTTATCCACACACTACCAGATGAGGCTGACAGCTCAGGAATAGATTGACGGGTAGGATGAAGGCTAGAACAGCACGCAGACCCATGACGCCTACCGTTCAGAGACAGAAACTCAAGAGTTCAGAACCTCAGGCACAGAGCAGGCTGACTCACAACCCGGGTCAGAAAAAGATCAGCCCAGTGACAGTGACCCAGAATCACCAGGACTCGGAAATAGATGTCACCACAGTGGAAGCCCTTCCTTGACCTCCTGTCCCACATCCCTAGGGGGCTCAGGAGCTGCTGGCCCAGGAAGCTCAAAGTTCTTGACGGTGGAGAACAGACCTCCAAAGCGATGATAACATGAAAGGATTAACTCCGAGCTTGGGCGGCCAGGGGCGGACTCCATAGAAGCCGGGTAAGATTTAGGCGCCCGGCCCGCCTCCTCGCGGGGGCGGGGCCTCGGGGCGAGGAGCGGCCTGGGACCGTGACCAGAGGTTTACCTCCCGGGAATGGGCTCTACGCGCTACGTGCCCCCAGCGACCCAGGCCGGAGCCGAGTGTTAACCGGCCCCAGAGGGGCCCCGCGGGGGCGCGGTCTCGGGGCGGGGCGCGACCTGAGACGGTGACAAGAGAGTTAACCGCCCGGAGGGGCCGTGGGGGCGGGGCCGTGGGGCGGGGCGAGGCCTGGGGGAGGTGCTGGCGGCGGAAGAGGCAGGCGGGCTGCGCCCGGCGCCCTTCGGCCACTCTAGGCTGGGCTGCTCCGGAGGGCCGGCGACCTCCCGGCACGGGAAGCCCTGCGAGGTTCGAGGGCGGTGACAGAGGTGCGGGGCGCGCAAGGGGCAAGGTCCCTCGGCAGGCCGAAAGGCGGCGAACTCGCGAGTCTCGAGAGACCGGGACAGGTGGGTGAGGGCAAGGTAATGATGGGCCTCGGAGCTTTGGGGGAGCAAAGAGGGAGGAGCGGGGCGGTGAGCAAACCTGGGGAAAGGATGGGGCGCCTGGGTGAGGCGTCCCCTCCAGGATCCCTCGCCTCACACACTCTTCTCTCCCAACTCCTCTCTAGGTCGATCCCGACCGGGAGCTCGACTTTCAGAAGAGAGACGCCCCAGCAAGCCTCTTTAGGGGAGTTCTCCAGCTCCTCACCTCCATGGGCCAGACAGCCTCGGCAGGGGGCGGCGGCAGCAGCACCCACACCCCGCAGGCCCTGTACCCTGACCTGTCTTGTCCCGAGGGCTTGTAGGAGCTGCTCTCGGCTCCCCCTCCTGACCTGGGGGCCCAACGGCGCCACGGCTGGAACCCCAAGGACTGCTCAGAGAACATCGAGGTCACGGAAGGGGGGTTGTGCTTTGAACGGCGGCCCGTGGCCCAGAGCACTGATGGGGCCCGGGGTAAGAGGGGCTACTCGAGGGGCTTGCACGCCTGGGAGATCAGCTGGCCCCGGGAGCAGAGGGTGGGCGTGGCCAAGGCCCTCACGCCGCTGCAGGCTGACCACTATGCGGCGCTGCTGGGCAGCAACAGCGAGTCGTGGGGCTGGGACCGTGGGCGCGGGAAGCTGTACCATCAGAGCAAGGGGCCCGAGGCCCCCCGGTATCCAGCCGGACCTCAGGGTGAGCAGCTGGAGGTGCCGGAGAGGTCGCTGGTGGTTCTGGATATGGAGGAGGGAGCTCTGGGCTACGCTATTGGGGGCACCTACTTGGGGCCGGCCTTCCGCGGACTGAAGGGCAGGACCCTTTATCCAGCAGTAAGCGCTGTCTGGGGCCAGTGCCAGGTCCGCATCAGCTACCCGGGCGAAAGGAGAGGTGAGGCCTGGGGCACGTGTGGGGAGAGTAAGTTCTGACACTGGGGTTTGTGGTTTTGGGATGGAAGCTCAACGCCTTACAAGAGCAGAGGGAACTGGCCTTCATCTGCCTCTATTCAGTGCCAGGAATGGCTAAGAGTCTTCACAGCTGTTACCTAACTCAATCTTCCTAACAGCCATAGAGGTAAAGTAAGGCTTGGGAAAGCAAGTTGCTAGTGAGAGGTGAACCCTCAGAATTAAGTGAAGCACTGTGGGGATTAGGGCTTCACAGGAGAGATCAGCCCCTGGAGCCAGAGGGGCAAAGGGTTAGATTTGTCCTGGGCTAGGTGTACAAGTCCCAGACGAAGAGGACTGGTGGTGCCAGGCGCCCGGAGTGTGTACCCGGCTCACTGGGCTCTGACTCTGACACATACCTACTTCCTTCCTCAGTCGAACCCCAGGAAGGAGCCGTTGAGGTCCGGGCACCTGGAAGAGCAGTGAAGGAGGCAGGGCCTTGGGGCTGAGCGGACTTAACTGTTCTGCAGTTGCTGAGTCTGCAGCAGCGGGTGGCTGCCTCTCCCCCGTAGCCCATGGGAGCCATTGCAGAGTGGAGGAGGGCCACCCTTCCTTCCACCTCCTCAGCCCCAGCTCTGGGGCCTCTCTGGATTCAAAGCCTGGGCCAGCTCCATGGTCACAGCCGCCTCGGCCCGTTGCTTAGAGGGCCTTACTTAGAGCTTCACCCCAACTCCGACCGGGGACGTGTGAGATCCATGATGCGTCCACAAGAGCAGATGCAGAACTTCAGAGCACCTTAGACCTCCCCTGAACCGAGGTGGGAGCAGACTTGCAGCAGGAAAACAGAAGGGACTCTGGGCAGGACCCCATGGTTTGATGATGTTTGGCCAGTGGCTGCACCCGTACTTACTTTCCCTCATTCTCTCTCCCAGCCGAGCCACACTCCCTTCTGCACCTGAGCCGCCTGTGTGTGCGCCACGCCCTGGGGGATAGGCGGCTAGGGCACGTTTCTGCTCTGCCCTTGCCCCCCCCCCCCCCCCCCCCCCCCCCCCCCGCCCCCC